TAAGCTTTCCGATCATGAAAACGTTATGAATCCCCTCGCTATAAATATAAAAGTAGATACATTACATTTTCAATTGAAGGTTAAGCATATAATATGGTATTATTATGAATTGTTTTAGATTAGATCATTGTAAATAGTAATAAAAATAAAAAAGCAAAAATAAAACAGTAAGTACGAAAGGTAACATTCCATCTTGTTAGTCAGAGAGTCTCATAGTACAGGATATAAGAGTAGTGGACTACCAAGGATATACCAACCAAGGATATATATAGCCAGGAAGGGAGTAAGCAGTGAACTAAGGAGAATGGATAAAGAAAACTCATTACGGCGACCGCAAATCAATTTGGGAAAAGGCTAAGAAGAAGATGAGTCAGTCTCATTGTAAAATGACATAACAAAAGACGTTCCGTGTTAGCTAATTAGGATACTGTTAATATTTCGTATACGTATATCGTAACATAATGATGATGATTTATCTAAAGCATTCGACTGCGTTTTTCATGAAACATTAATCAGGAAATTGCATTACTATGGAATTAGGAACACTGCTTTGGATCTTCTTATCTCTTATTTGGGTAATAGGATCCAGAGAGTGGAAGTTAATGGACAGAGATCCTTGGGGTCTCTGGTCACTATGGGGGTTCCGCAGGGCTTAATTCTCGGCCCATTTTTATTTCTTGTTTACATAAATGACCTACCTAATGTGATAAATGATAATCAGGAGATAGTGCTATTTGCGGATGACACTTCACTGTTATTTAAACTTAAACGACAGCAATCAGTAACTGATGACGTGAATAGCACTCTCTCTAAGGTTGTGAACTGGTTTAATGTTAATAATTTACTTTTAAACGAGAATAAAACGAAATGTATTAGATTTTTTACACCTAATGTTAAGCAGGTAAAGACCAATGTTCTAATAAATGGAAAGGAGTTGGATCTTGTGGACACCACCAAGTTTTTAGGTATAACACTAGACTCTAAATTGCAATGGGGCCCACACATTGACGGATTGTCGAATAGACTCAGCTCTGCAGCATACGCGGTTTACAAAATTCGTCAATTAACCGATGTAGAAACAGCTAGACTGGTGTATTTTGGCTATTTTCATAGTGTAATGTCATACGGTATTTTGTTGTGGGGAAATGCTGCTGACATTCAAAGTATCTTTGTGTTGCAAAAGAGAGCTATTCGTGCAATTTATAATCTCAGTTATAGGCAGTCACTGAGGGATAAGTTTAAAGAAATTGGTATCATGACAGTCGCATCTCAATATATATATGAAAATTTAGTGTATGTAAAGAAAAATAATCATTTATTCACAAAGTTTAGCGACATGCATAAAATAAACACTAGAAATAAAGATAAACTCGTGTTACCAACCACTAGGCTACAAAAAGTAAGCAAGTCTTTTCGTTGTCAGGGTGTGCGATTTTACAATAAAGTGCCAAGCAAATTCCATGAATTAAGTATTAATAAATTTAAGTCTTTAGTAAAGCTAAAACTATGTGAAAAGGCTTACTACACTATTTCAGATTATTTAGACGACAAATTTGCTTGGGATTGATGCTGCTCACTCCCACATTTACGTAGACATCTTTGTTGTTAAGTTTGAAAGTGATGGACATTTAATTATTTTTTTTTTTGGTGTATTTCGTATTTTGTTTTGTATTTTATTTTTCGTTGACTTTGAACTGTATAGTATTTTTTTTATTTTTGTGTAAGTATGTAAATGTGAGTACAGTGTAGGCTTGTAATGTTAATTCATATTTTATTATCTTTCTGGTGGTTTTGAGTGTTTCCACGGCCTACCCAAATGTCCTGCTGGCGGTAGTGTCATGCTTCGGGTCGTTGATCTTGACCAATATCGGTTAGGCTACACGATGGCTGGAGCCTGTATGCCGTCTGTATGGACAGGTTGACTCAAAACTATGGTCCTTTCCTCAAAAGGCCTATCCAGACCCTATACTGTACTCGCACAGTTTTATTTAACTTTGTTTACGGACTTAAAAAAAAAAGACACCTCTGTGGTTTGTTTCGGCGTTTCTTCCCAGAGTGAGTCTTAGGAAATGCCGGCTCCTTCTAGCTATAAAGTCCGACTTGTAAAAATATCTGAAAAGATTTACTTACAGAAATAAATATCATTTCATTTCATATCATTTCATTTCATTAATATACAACATATTATAGGTACCAAAGTTCGTGGTATTGATTTGTGTCAATCCATCATCAGCAAAAAGCCAAAAAGTTTGAAATAGGACGATTATACTGACGAGTATAGGTTACAACTTGGTATTTAGTAAAGTATTATAAATGCAAAGTTTGTATGTGTTATACGTCGTCCACACTGAAATGCTTTGCTAGCTGAACTGCTCTTGACGTGACAAGCTTTTACTTAGTAATGTCAAACATACCGCTTGATTTATAGCAAGTCCCAAACAGCCAGGGTGAATGTGGGGTACATTTCCCAATTTAATTTTATTGGGGTATGAGGTATGCGGTGCGTGGCACCAAAGTTGCCAAACAACTACGAAAGAAATTGAATTATTTATATATGATCGTCAAAGATCATTACTTATTTCTGTAAAAACTTTGTGTAATGTTATATGCTTATATGTAGGAGCACTTATTTGTATATATGTGTGGGTGTAAATGTTTTTCCCAAACTAGGTTCGGTCCGCTTTCAGTTTACTACGACACTGCTGAACTTTGATATTATTTACGAGTGCGACTGCCATTAGACCGCTACAACCCAACTACTAGGCGATATCGAAATTCTGTAGATAGACTGTTGTCGGACTTTTTAGGGCTTCAACGGGTAACGATTACCACACACTACCACAGATGTTCGTATGGTAACAGGGACCTTCCGGGACCGGGTTCTTGTACATCTATGTATTTATAAAATGTATATATACACACAATGGCACACTTAAATTGTTATGTGTTTATATAAAATCATAGATAGGTGAACGTTTGGAACGTATATTGTAATGTATACCACAAACTACATATTACTGTACAACATAGCCGACGGTGTAGTGCACGCCGCTTCCTACCATGCTGAGTGTTGTGGGTTCTATCCCCACAAATTGTTGTTCTGAGGCTGGGTGCTTATTGTGTCCGTTTCATGTATGTTTGTAAAGTCCCCCGCTACCGACGATATTCCCCTAATGCGGGAGTAGTCTTTTAAAAAAAAAGTTTACAAAAACCTGTAAGATATCGCAGATAAGGTAGCTCATTGTACCTTTGTTTTGTACTCTATACTGTTTGATTTTAATCTATGGCGTACAATTAAGAGCATCCATCTATTTTTCTTGAGACACCTTTTCTAATATTGCAGAATGTTTATGAAACCGTCCTTGTTATATTATTATTATACAAAATAACATCAACAACATCAAATTACATGTTAACCATTATCATAATGACATTTAGATGAGATCTACTACGCATAATTTATGGTAATACTATAAGAGGGATTTAATGCCTTTAGTGTGATGAGATAAATCCATTTGTTAGAGATGCTACATTGCAGTATCCTCAACAACAGAGCTCTTTTATTAATGGCATTAATTTAAATGAAAAATTGATGGCAATTTATTTGTACGTGAGCGATTTTCCTGCGGTATATACTCGGAAAGATTACGAAAACGGAATAATTTTTTACGTCAGTAAATAAACCATTCCATATTTTTAAAGCAGCTTAATGATGGCGGCGGTTTCGTCGGTTGAAATTTCTAATTTTAAATAACTAACAAGTAAGAATAAATGCGCAAGATGTTTGTATAGGTAGGTATATTTATAAATATAAAACTCTACCACTGTGCGTTTTTTAAGACACTTTATGCCTCGCACATCTGATCTGTGGCACAAGTTACCGTCTGCGGTATTTTCGGTATCGGAACCGATATGTCCTTCAAACCTTTAAGAAAAGAGCGTACCTACTCCTTCTTAAAAGGTCGGCAAAGCGTTTGTGACTCCTAAGTTGCAGGCGTTCATGGGCGGCGGTAGTCGTCCCATCAGGTGACCCGTCTGCTCGTCTGCCCCCCCTTACATAAGAATTTTTGAATTGCATAATTTTTGAAATTGGTTTTTATGGATTTTCTTAATAATGTATTCAATAATTCTAAAATTAAAACATAATAATAGTGAAGAACAGCCATGATCCAAAAAACATATGTTCGATTTAAAATCTTTAACGTAACATGTTAAATCTAATTGTTGAGAACTTTTAAACGGATAGTTTTTTTGTACAGTAAGTACAAGTTCCGTGTGGTGACGGATTAAGAATACATATTGTCACCACCCCTATTCATCCCGTGGGTGTTGTAAGAGTCAACTAAGGGAAAAAACTACGCAGTACAACAACACTGCAGAGAGAAGGAAAACTTGACACAAACCCTATACCAACCCGTCTGGCCAGCGTGGTATAGTAGGCCAAAACCTCCTTTCTAAGGAGAGGCTTATGTCCAGCAGTGGACTATTAAAGGCTGTTGATGAAGTACAGTGATAGAGTTACGTCCTTTAGCGTTTGGTACCCCCGGCCCCTACGTTTACGAGGTTGTATTAAACGTTCTACCAAAAACATAACTGATGAAATGTAAAAAAGCAGTAAACTACACGCACTACAACAAATACGTAAAAAAACACTATCCCTAAAGTACAGTTCAATCCGCTTTCGTTCTTCTTTTATGTTTCAAAAGTTTCTTTCGAGAAAAAAGAAAGGTTGCCTGTTTTTCTAAAGTGCTTTTTCTTCTTTGCAAGCAAACGAAACTGACAATGGTATTTTTGTACAATAAATTTACATTATGTCCTCCGTTCACCGGGCACTGGTTTGACAAAATTTACAAGACTTATTTATTGAAGGCTGTATTTAATCATAGAAAAGGATAGCACTATGCTATAGCCAAACCTATTTACCCTGTAAATAGTTCATGCAACGAAGATTCTCATTATCCTCCCTGTTTTGAAATCAAAGAGCATGCTGCCAAACTTACCTGGACTGCGGCGGTGCCTGCACCGATGCTTGTGACAACAAAGAACCAGAACCTCTCTTACAGAGTGGAGGTCTGGGTACAGAGGGCCTGCGTTCAACTCCTGATGCAGATCGTATGGCCGGAGCTCCTTCCGCAGCTAATACTCGAGCTGATACGAGCGCAGCTTCAGGACAGTGCTGTAACAAGTATATTTCATAAATATGTATAATATTTTGCAAGAAATTGATTTACACATTGATTTACTGATTTACAAATTCTTTGCCGGCAAATCTAAATCATCTATTAAGTGTCGTCTTTCTAGTAATAGTACTCTGTGGTGTCGTCTATCGACAATAATATCATTATTTTTCCATGACAACCAACCAATCAGTTGAGCTGATCTGCTTTGGCAGTGCTACGATATAGTGATGTGCCAGATCATTAACAATGTATATACGCGATTAAGGATAGGATCATTTTTTTTTAAATTGATAATAATACCTGTGACTTTGAAATCACAATTAATGCTCGCAACTAAATAATAAGTTAGTGTGTTTTTTCTTTAATTATTATAATATAAATTTTGTATAGATTTGTATCCTTCCACTCACACTTACTTATAATCACAGGCATGCGCGAGTCACTAGTCACATACATATGCTTATAAATACACATATATACACGCACATGCATACAGACACACACACTTACACACACACACATACACACAAACACTTTTTATTTTTGGTATTGTATAACTTAAAATAGTCACTAATTTATCTTTATTATTCTGGAACGCTGATGTCTGTACTTTTCTGGAGGTGGGCAATAATAGCCACGACACATTTCATAACTAATGTGGTTATTTTCGAACACAAGTAAATTTGTATACCTACTGTTTCTTGTTCTAATAAAGATTATTATTATTAGGTAAAGGTATGAATATGAAGTTTAACCTTGTAATTGTTAAACCTGCATGTTACACTTACTCTTTTTATTTATTGCATGTATGTTAAACCGTTTTTGGCTAAATGAATTTAGTGTTTCATAACTGTAAGAAAAAATAAAAAGTAAAGGTGCCAAGATCCTCCAAAAAGTAAAAACTTTTTTCTCAACGGATATCCATGAAGACGGATATTTAGGTATATCCGACACATCACTATTATGAACATGAGCATTTCCACGTATTCATAGAGTAAAAAACTAAGTGACCTTATACCTAACAGTTATTTTTAATTCTATAGGTGTTTTAGAACTTCTGAACTACAACGTAACAGTTTTTTATAATAATAATAGTAAACTAGAATAGTGTGTAAATACCTAAAAAAAATTTGTTATGATTAACAAAAAAATATTCCTAAAGTATACATGTAAATCATTTTTTTTGGTAACTATTTATTAGGACATAAAACATTTAAATACGAATGGTGGTTCCGACCTTAATGGCTAACATTTGCTGATACAGCTAACAACAACAAATATTATTGCTTTTATCTTTTCATTACTCTCAGCCATGATCGATTACAAAAAAAAAGTATCTACTTAATTTGTCATAGTCAATTAACTTTCTTCTATAAATTTCAAATAAATTGGTAATAAAACTTTATTATTTGCTACTGTTGCGCCATAGGATTAAATGGTTCGATTGTATGAAATGTGGAGGACAGTGCCATCTAGTATCGACTAAAGTACATCTTTTAAGATTGTGGTTAATACAAGTAGTTCTGATTTATTTCTTATTATGTAGAAAAATTATGGCCGCCGAATCTTCCAGATTCTTGCTACAAAAAAAAGAAAACTGTGAAAGAGACAGTCCAAGTGACATGAAGACATTTTAAAGTACATCAACATTAGTGCCGATGTTAAATAAATGCTTGCCGCATACGAGTTCACTAGTTCATATCCATGTGGTGCCAGATTAAGAATACGGAGTGTCACTGACCCTATTCATCGAATCGGTGTCGTAAGAGCTGACCAAGGGAGCAAACTACGCGGGACAACAGCACTGCAAAGAGAACTAAAACTTGAAACAACTCCTGAATACCAACCCGTTTAGTACAGTAGGTAGTACGTAGGTACGCTTCACAATACGACGACCACGCACAATAGTGATTTTCTTTTATATAGATTCATGCTTTTAAAAGTTGGTTTAATAGCAGATGGCAATATTTCGATATGAAAATAATTTGCTGATCTTAATGCAACCAAAATTTAAAATTATTTTCTTGATTGATTGTTAGTAGCGAAAAGCTGACGCAAAAGGTTTGGCCTAAACGAGTAGGGCTTCACAAAACACTTAATTATTCTTAATGAAAACGGGTTGTTATCGATCGCATCACAGTCGGTGCTACACGTTGCCAGCCTTAGTTTCATCTCAATATTAAGGTAGTAAAAACACGTTCAAGCTGAAATGGACAGTGAGGTCAGGTCAAAGAGCCGTGGGTAAATGTTCCCGGTAATGAATAAAATTTAGGAATTGTAGATATATTATATATATTGTAGACATATATATATTTATATAATTCTTAGGAAATCTATACAATTCTGAGCCTTTTTAGGAAATGTATAAAATTATGTTTCAAGGATTCTTTGATACATCCATTACCTACCAAATGTACATATTTCCTAGAAATTCTATAGTGTTCCGGTATGGTACTAAGAAATATAAAAATTACTGCTTTCTCTGAATAAAATAAATAAAACACATTAGTAAACCAAGAATCAGTATTTTTATTAAACCTCTTGTTGTCAGGTAACAACTAACCTAACTTTACCTATGATAATAATAATTTAGGAAATGTATAGATTTTAAAGGAAACGTGCATATCACAAACATGTTATACATTTTTTATTTACTTTAGGAATTGTACACATTTTCGCAGGAAATTCGAATACCCGACGGATTACATACTTTTTCGTTAACGTATACACAGGCTTTAAAAGTATCCTCCTATTTCATACTTTATTAAGTATGTTAATAATTCAGTAATGACATACTCGGTCTAACGCACCAAAAACCAGTCATGAATGTAATGTAATTAGTTTTTGATGTAATTTATGTTATCGCGTGAAATAATGTCATGATATGTTTTGAAGTAAACCATAGACACGCTGTATGTTTTGTTATTTTATATTTATTAATAATGATAGCGTTCTAATGATGTTTTGGTATTGTTGACGAATGGAGTAAGCGACTGTCAAATCAAACCGACAAATTAATACAAACTACGTGAAGTGACGTCACAAATTAAGGTTGTTAAATTATTTACTTTTATATATAAAATATATATTTAAGAGTAGTAATATACGAGTATATAATTATAGATATTTAAGGTTATGTAGGTAAGAGTGGAACACTACACTTACCTACCTGTGGTGTGTCACATGTACTATACCTTTTCTTTTGTTGACGGCGTGGAAAATCCCTTCGGATCTCCTGCTCCTCGGGGACTCAGGAGCCAGGAGTATGTTGTGATTTTACTAAAAACAACCCCGATGGGCGGCCTCAGGACCCTACTCTAGGAGGACCCGGACCATGTTACATGTACTGTAACTAGTCTTTACAATTAAATTTGTAATCAATTACCACTCCTTTGGTAGTGTTTTGAAGTCGGTTTATTTTTTTCTGTAATATTTTATATCTCTAATTTATGTACGTTTAGGACATAAAATATCTTAAAATAATCTTTATGATAAATTCATAAAGATTATTTCCTTCTCTAATGTTATAAAATATTTTATACCTACGTAAGTAATACTTTAAGGAGCTTTGAAATCATGCTAACAGCGAAATCCGATTAAAGATATAATACTTAGTCTTAAGCATTACAAAAACATACTTCGAACAATTCTTAAAAAATATTATTGATATAAGAATAATTTTATCGGGTCCATGAGTAAAAGTAAAACTTTCTTTAAAAAAACTCTATGTCCACAAAGTGAAAAAAAAGCTCATACCAGTGAAAAAGAGGGGACTCAGTCAAAAACGTGTATTAAAACACGTAATAGGTACCTACGTGTAAAATAATGTACGTACGTAAGGATTAGATACACATCCGTTACAAATATATACAATATCACTAATAAATCTTCAGAATAAAGATGTTATACAAAGTGGCGCGAAATTTATTCAGAGTGACGCGGATTTTATGACAGTTATGTTAGCACAATTGTGTTTTTAAATTGTGCATTCAAAACATCAGCATTAACTTAATAAAGCAAAATTATTTATTTACTTACATTAATGATGGTCTGGCATTACAATCCTTCAATTTACTTGCTAGATTTTTTATAAAATGTTAAAGTAAATTATTATTGCTTTTTCTTTGTTTACGTCGAGAACTATAGGTACATATCTCGAGGTAAACAAGTTCTTTTTTAATTAAAGTTTAATAGAAAACCTGTACTCTTCTTTGTAAATATGTAAATGAATGTAAAAAAATAAAACCCTTTAGGGTGATCTAAACTCTCGTCTCATTTAAAATTCTTACTACGCAACAAGACTTTTTGTCTTGTGAATGAACACCACTATACTTTTGTGTACATAATTTTTGTGATCTCGTAACCTCTGGGAATGCTCTATGTTCTCTGATGTACCTAATTTTAAAAGAATTCATCAGAAATAGTTCCCCAATTTGGTTTAAAAAACTAGATGTAAACAGATGGCGATAAAAGTGGCCATGAGTAAGCCAAGGAAAGCACAGAAGAGAAAACCGCTGTTGAGCTATTTTATCGATGCTTATCACTAAGTGATTGAGGTATGTGGTTACCGGAGCCCAAATCCCCCTCCCTGATTCTGGGGGGGGGGGGGGCTCAAAGGGTAGCAACACATTCTGTGACTCTTGAGATGCAGGTGTCCATGGGCGACAGGAGTCACTTACCATCAAGTGACCCATTTGCTCATTTGTCCCTACACCATAAAAAAAAAGATTCTCCTCAAAAGCGAAAACAACATCTGATCCTACAAGAACCTTCTCGTTCGCAGTCAGTGACATTTGAATTTTACTCATGATGTGCCGCTCTCTAATAGAGGCCAAATGGAATGCATATTTATTTTTAAACACTTCACTGAATTTTGTTCACCATCTTAAAGCCCGGATCTCTAATATTCATCCCCTCAGGAGCAAAAAAAACCCAAACCATACCAATCTTCAGAAAAGGTTTCACTACCACATATCTTTTAATCTTATCTTTATAAAAGAAGCGGACTAGAAACGGGCTACGATTTCGTATATAACATAACTTTTGCTGTGTGCTCTAATCATTGGCTTCTCACGTAGTCGCATATTCGGTTTAAACTCGATGCCCGGTCATCCGAACCGTCCTTTACAGAATTTGTGTGCCCTAAAAGGAAAACGCTATCAAAGAACCGGGATACAGTGAAAGCTCTTTGTAATCTGCGGCAAAGGTTGTTAAGTCTGACAAAGCAAAGCAAACTATGTTATAGTAAACTTTTAGATTTAAATAAACCAGTGTTAGTGTTGCATATAATAAAAGCATTTTTAATCAATTTCTTAGACTAATGATAGACTTGTTTGAAGTCAAATCAATTTCAAAATAATCTAAGTGATGAGTAGAAAAGGATTTTTGAAAGTTCTACTCCTAAACCATATAATAATATGTTTAAAAACTATATGTTTTAAAGTCAAATCTTATCGAAATGATAAAATTTGAAGATTTGAACACCTTTGAGTACCCGTAAGGAGAAAATGGTCTTTTGTCACACCAACAAAAAAGAAGGATCCTTTGATCGAATTGGGTGATCATATCTGGCGGGCCGTAGCCCAACGGTTCGATGTGAATACTTTCTTTCCGCAGTGGATTATTCGTTACTTTCTAGTTCGGTGTGTCTTCGTGAGATCATTTTAAACTATGTTTATAATATTGAAAGCCGCCACACCTTTTTATAAACCGTAGGCACTTACATACAACAATCAAACTTTGTCCTGTTTCACTGAAAACTTCGCCAATAACCTTCGTTGTGAACTTTGTTCATACTTAAGATTCGTCCGTGAAACAAAACCAACATGACAAAAGACCTATAACATTACTTAAGTCATGTTTTTAGGTTATTACCAGCAACTATATTTGTTCATACTACCTACTTATTCTTTTGTATTGCAAAGTAAATAAATAGAAAACAAAAACGCAGTGGTAATAAATTTCGACAGGTGGTATCCGAGGGGATTTCCGAACGGAAAAAAAAAGGGGTAATAAATTTAAGAAGGTATTTTTGAAAGCCGTTAATTTATAAATAGTATGATAAACATTAATAAAGCTACAAATCTATAGTAGTAAAATTTCATAGTTCCACCAAAATAGATTTTTTTCCAGTTCCTTTTTCATGTATAAGTTATTCTAGAGAAACTGAATTTATTTCAACTATAAAGTTTCCTCAATATGCTTTACAACATGAACAGTCGAAAGACAAGCAGGGGAATTTTGTTCCCGCGTTCCTAACCTTTAGGATTACAGCAGCAAAGTAAATTGATTAAAATATGAAATTATTATTTTATGTTCCTAAATGTAAATCCTAGTGTCATTTCAACTAGAACGCTTAGCTTGATTTGAATAATGTTACGTAATTCACTATTAAAACAATATCATTTTTTTATATTTGTATATTTTTTGGCTTAGCCTATAACCATTTTAGTAGGAATGTTATCTCAGTTTAATTAACTAGAAATAATATTTTGACACATCTCACACACGGTCGTCTGATCTGAAACTAGTCGGCGCCTGTGCTATGGTTATCAAACTGCTTATAAATGCACTTAAATATTTTCAAACACATACATATTATATACTATAAATAATATAATATATTCTATACTGTAGAGAAAGAAAATTTGAAATTAACCCTATACCAACCCGTCTGGCCAGCACGGTATATTAGGCCGAAACCTCCTTTCTTAGGAGAGACCTATGTCCAGCCAGTGGACTACTAAAGGCTGTTGATGACATATTAGGTACAGATAAATTACACCCAGACATGGAACAACTGATCGTGTTTATCATACAACTTTTTGTCCTGGATGGGAATCGAATCCACGACCTCCAGATTAGCAGTCACGATCACCAACTACTAGAACAACCGGCCATTCAAAAATACAAAGCCTATTGAATAAAAATCTAATTGACTTGAGCATTGTAGTGCAACTCTTTATCTGTTTTTATGAGACAATGTAGCTATCGCTTTCCAAAAGGAAGAGGGTCATTTGTTCTCTAAAGGAATATCCCCTACCATAAAGATATTGGCTAGAAACAGATAATATATCTGAACAGCCTCAAAAAATCCGGATAATTATATGTGTACATTAATGGATAAAGGCTGACATTAAACCTGTCCATTAGCAAAATCCATTAACCTTCTCAATTTAAAGCCACTTTGGGAACCACTAAAACCAGTAATCTGCGGTCACTCAAAAAGTACATCATAATATTCGTCGATAATGAAATCGTTCCAGTAATTGCCGATGCAGTATTTATAGCTGCGACACATATTAATTAATAGCACTGTACAACTGACATACTTGTTTAACAAGCCATTAAAATAAATAGCAGCTCTCGATACAAATGAATTAAGTTCAATATTGAGTTTAGAAAACGTCACTACATGTAATATTCTCTTAACAGCTACACGTGCAGTCTCGTTTTATTGAGAAGCTAATATTCCAGCCATTCTACGAGAAAGGGTTGACTTGAATGAATAAGTAACTGTTTCACCAAAGCATGTGTGAGATTAACTTAAGGTTTTTATATCTTGAATTGAAGCCGCTTGATTAAAGAATCTTCAAGTACTAACTTTATACAATGTATAACTAAGTAGTTATACATTGTATAAGGCGCCATGACGGCCATTAGAAATAAATCTC